AAATTAATCAAAAAAATGAAATCAATAATATTGAAGAAAAAATTTATCTTAATAAATATTTGAAGGCAATAATAACTAAAGTTAAAAAAAAACACTTAAAAATCGCCAATATATCAAAAATTAAAAAATTAAAGCACGCAAACAAGCACCAAAACTTGTTACTCAGGTTGGTTGATTTTCCAGCAAGAAAAAAAAAATATATTTTCTTCAAAAAACATAGCGCCAATACGCCGCGCTGTGCCATGTGTTAATTAAGCTGCTGGCACTTCATCCCGCTAACCGTTATATTGCCAGCGAACTTTTTATTGCACTCCACGCAGCAGTTGTACAACCTTGGTAGGCGTGTCCGTTGCTTGCCAAATTATAACCTTCAAAGAATTGCCTAAAGCAGAAAAACAAAAATTTTCAATTCAGCCGCACTTTTGACGAACTTTCTGGCCATGTACCGCGGTGGAGGCCTGCAAATATAAAAAAGAGCCACATAAACACACGCGTAGACAGTCATAACGTTGAAGACAGCACATGAAGTTCGCTATATGTATGCGTGTGTGTGTGCAGTTGCAGCGGAAAAAATCGATATAACATCAACAATAAACAACGGTAATGCTGCTGCTGGCCCATAAACATACCTAAGTAACACAAAGGCAAACGCACACACTCGCACACACACATATGCACGCTAAACAATAGTGCGTTAGTGTGCGCTGTGTGGCATGCCTCTGCAGTCGCATATTTGCATATACGCGTTTGCTATCGCATTCCGCCACCAACTCTTGCTACGCCACCAGCCAGTCGACGCCGCAATTTTATGCCGATAACGTAATACACATGACACTCACAGCAGTTGGTCGACGAGCGTTTACCATATGGATATGTGCAGCTGACCAAAAATGTTGTGCAATTTGTGCTAACGTTTTAAATATTTAATTAAAATTACTAAGTAAATAAGTAATACAAAGTAGAAAGATAAATAAACACGTGCGCGTATTTACAACAAAAGAAAAAAAATAAAATAAATATAAATATTGTCCATTTTAACTGCTAAACGCATAATTGTAGAAACAAATATAAAACAATACTAACACACTAACACACTAACAAAAAAAATATATAAACAACAATAACGCATGCATTTATGCAGCACAAGGTCGCGCACAAGCATACAACCGCGCGCCTACACGGCGTATGAGCAATTAATTAAGTGCAGCGCCTGGAGTGAATGCTGAACAACAAGCATAACAACAACAACAGCAGCAAAAAGATGGTGGACTTGAATACTTGTCCGCCTACGCCGCCGGGTGGTGAACGCTCGAAAATCAAAAGCTTTATGGGCCGCACTCCCGGCATTGGTATATTGAAGTCGAAATTTCTAACGGTGCTGGGGAATAGCAATGAGCTGCTCAACGGTATTTCGAATAAGGTGAGTGCGATATAAGTAGATATGTTACTTAAAGAACTAGTGCTACTTCCAATGCTTAGGAAGTTTTGAAATATTCGATGTATTTTGCCTTGCTCTTATTTTATCATCAGTTTTGTGCATGTAAATGAATCCATTTTAATTTTTGGATTGCACAAAGTGAGTTAGGTTAGGTTGAGGGGAATTTAGAACCAGTGGTTCACTATGCGCCAACTAAAGGTCTTACGTGAGTCATCTTCCACTTTAAAATTTCGCTTCAAAAACGGATCCCAGATCCAAAGTGGTCCCAGATCGGATTCAAAAACGGATCTCACTGTCCTACTTGGTCCGCTGAGAACGCCGGTTCACTGTGATACCTAACTAATATCTAATATTGACTAACAAGTTGCTGTCACAAATTTGTTAAGTCGGCTGTTATCGCCAGACTTGCCGAATATATGACCGCCGATATATTTTAACTTGCAAAAGTTTTGCAAAAGTTAAAGAGGAGAAAAGGCTTGGATTTTTCTACCTCACCTTTCTAAAATAACTTTGATAGTGAGTGTCCGGAAAATTTTTAGCTCGAATAATACCGATAAAGCTCGTTTATTGGACAATGACCAGTAACCCCTCTTACGAATGCGGCAAGAAGAACTACACTGAGAACAAATAGTCGAGTGGATCACCTGTACTCTGCACTACACCGGAAGGATCTCGCTGTCGCACTGGAGCTAGTTATTGACTAGCGTCTGCCTAGTCCAGGGTCTGCGGAGAATTGTCCCACCTCCTTTCTAAAAGTTTAAATTTATACATTATTTCCATCATAAGTGACACTGCACGAAGAAAGGGACTTTGAGTTGCAAGTAAAAAATTTTAAAGTTACCCATCCCCCCTCAAAGTTGTACTCTGGATCCGCCCCTGGCCTAGCCCGAATATTTCGTCGATACTATAGTTACCAACATCCTTGTCCCTCTTTTTATATGAAAAGTAGGTTTCGATCCTAAAAGGAGTATGGAGCTCTAAGCTCGATAGTAAAATGATTGTGTGGTAACTTAATTCAAAATTAAAATCCGTTGCAGCTTAAGAAGAAGATGAAATTGGCTTCGTATAGTTTCAGCAGCAGCGGAATGTGTCCCAGAAGTTCCCAGAAGTGACGTCAAGAAAGACTTTATAATATAACATTATATAAACATTACTTTTTCCCAAGCTCATGGTCTTTCATGATTGAAGTCCCATTCCCGAGATGAGTTGCGGGGTGTAGGAACTGTTCGGAGCTTTCATATTAACGATAAAAGCAGACAGGAAGCTTAGTTTGCTCAATTCAGCTAGCCAGCGAAGGCTTATCTTATCAATTAAGATAGGCACCTTACACGATTTGTCTCGATTTCGTCAGCAAGGAATATGGGTATTTAATTCCATATTCTTTGATTGCATTTCCTTTGGTTGTATAACTATACTGTTGCATTTTTTTCACAAATTGAACACATATTTAAGAAGCTCATGTTAAAAGTAATGAATCATGCCAGGTTTTGATACCCCGTTTTGAAGTGAGCCGAATTACAGTGAAGACGTTCCTCGCAACATATGTGGTAGTACTCAGAAGGGGAAGGGTCTTGGCTATAACGCGGGTGTGCCAAATCTTTCCAGCCATACCATCCTTCCTTTTAAGTTTTATTTTTTAACTGGTGTTTTTAACTGGTATTGCAACATAAGTCCAAGCCTTGTCATGATAGAAATTATAGCTTCCCTTTCTGGAAATTTTTTGGCAAACGCTTACTTCACTTTGATTAGTTACTTTATCCGTATATAGAAAATCGTATTTTACCAAATTAATTTAATGCGTACCGTCTAACCCAAGAAATCCTTATGTTCAGGGTATTACTTACAAATAAGAAGGTCAATTAAGTCTCTAGCACTGACAACTTTATAGGTGCTGCCGTCCTAAGAACCGCGCCGAAGTAAAATAGATCCACAGTTCCAGCTCGAATGATTATACTTAGCCAATATGAAGTTTAGAGGAGTACAATACAATAAAGAGTTTTGACAGCTGTCAACATGATACTGATAGTTTCTGTCTATTATGCAGAAAGTCGGCATAAATGAATATAATTTTATATGGCCAAACCTTGGCACTACCAACATTTGGAGCTATGTCTGCCAACATTTGGAGCTAATGGTAGCACCTTTATTTTACAAATATTTTTTTTTACTTGTACTTCACAGACAGTAAGTGGTCTCTCTTTTTTACAAACACCACAATTCTTTCGACTCACCTCTAGTTTAACCTCCTTGTGAGGTCAGTTACTACGGAATTTCAAAAATTTTGTGAAGGCATGCTATTTTTCAAATATTTTCTAACTTAGGTGATACACGAAATGTTTTTTACGAAGTGCATTTTTTTCACACATTACTGTACACTTATTCGGGAAATTCAAAAATTTGGAAAGGTAATATGATATTTTTCAAATATTTTCGAAATTAAGTGATACACGAAATGTTTTTTACCAAGTGCATTTTTTTCACACATTACTGTACAATTATTCGGGAAATTCAAAAATTTGGAAAAGTAATGATATTTTTCAAATATTTTCAAATTTAAATGATACACGAACAGTTTTTCACAAAGTGCATTTTTTCACACACTACTGTACAATTATTCAGGAATTTCAAAAATTTTGTGAAAGAATGATATTTTTCACATATTTTCGCATTTAAATGATACACGAATTTTTTTTTTACAAGTGCAGTTTTGGCACACACTACTGTACTTGAATCGCTAAATATGTTTGCGTAAACCACTGGCTTTATGGATTATTTTAGTTTCGTTTGATACTATTTTCTCTTTAATAACTTGCGGTGGTGTGACCAATATACCCACACAGTTGCATAAAATATGCTTGACATCATTCAATAACGCTTAACATTTACCTCGATTGTCACCCGCTGTGACATCGACCGATTGCGGCAATTCAAGCAGCCTACCCACCACTGCAGCCCCAGCCAAAGCTCACTAGCGCCAGTGTCAGTACTCTGTTTGTGTGCATGTATGTGTGGACTGCATCATGGTTAAGTTCAGGGGCGCCAAACAGGTCCAACCGACAGACCGGAATGTTGAATATTACTTTTGCTTTTTTTTTAATATGTTCTGTCGCTCTTTGATTTTTGTTGTTTTTATGCGGTTTTTTTAGGACATTCAGCTATGTTTGTTGGCATATGCTGTTGCCACACAATTCGATTGTGCCATTGTCGAGGCCATTGTGCATTGGCACATCTGGGTTAAGTTCATGTTAAAGAATTATGTATGTATGTTTGGCTGCATCAGCAGAGTGAAGGTGAGGCAGAAGGAGGCAGAAAGTCGGTGTGCATTGAAACTTGTTTGACTATAGCCGTACGCTTGCAGTTGTGTGGTTATGTCTGTAAGCGATTAGTTAAATATTTAGTCATAGGAAGCAAATAAGGTAATGGTTATTGATTCACTATTTTATCAGTTTGTTAGTAATATTTTGAAAGGATGCTATTTAGCTCAATAAAATCTTTTCAATCTAGTGCGTAAGAAGACGTTATCTTAACTTGTCTGATAATCATCGAAATTTGCCGCGACTTTCATTGTCCCATATATGATGCCATGTTGTTTTTGTAACTTTCCTTATTTGTTGTATAGCGCTCTTGTTGTTTTCAGAGGTTTTCTTTAGCTCCCACAGCTTTTTCCTTTTGTATGTTATAAGGTCAATTGGGGCATTACCGCTTTTAACTAATATTGCTTCGCCTGACACTGTTTGGGCTGCGATGCGGTGCACTCTGGCCAGTACTTTACGACGGGTTTTCTTTTTAAGCATGTCTGCCAAGATCTCAGTTCCGTATAATAGGACGCTGATAGTCATCGACATTACGAGCTTTCTCTTTTCTTGGCTGGGTCCTCCTTTGTTGGCTTGGCTATTAATCGGCTCAGCTGAGAGGTGATTTTCGCTGCCTTTCTTCCGACGTGCTGGATTTGTACCCAGAAAGTTAGTCAGCGGTTCAGTTTAACGCCTTGATAGTTTTTTGATTTTTGTGTCCTAAGAATATCCGTAGTGGTTTGCATTTTTACTTCGTGTGGTACGTGCTTATTTGTTAGCAGTAGTAGCTCATTTTTTTTTCCGTAGCGAGCGAGGAGTTATGTGAGTCGAGCCATGTTTGCGTTGGTATCATGACTTGATTAAGCTTACTTCGCGCTTCTTTTGTGTCTCTTGTTGTAATTACTGCTGCAATGTTGTCCGCGTAGCCAAATGAGTGGGATTCGGCAGGCATTTTAAGTCTAACTCTGTGCCACTCCTGACGTGACGGCTATCTGTTGTGAGCGCTCTCTAGTTTGGTCTTGATCCCTCTCTAGTTTGAGTCCCTTTCTATTTTGGTCGAAAGTAGTATCAATATTTCGAAAAGATACTGCGTTTTAACTAATTGGAACTGTAGCATTCACGAAAACAAGGCTTTCGATAAGTTTTTTTGACAAACTAAGTCGACCATTTTAACTACCAAAGTTATATCGAAATAACCATTTTGTAAGGTTTTAATGTTATCCGTTCTTTGGGAACTTAACTTTTATCGGAGGATTCGTTTGGAAGCTATATGCTATAGTAATCCGATTTGAACAATATATTCCAGGATTGTTGCTTTGTCTTGGACAATTATCTATGCCACATATTGTGAAAATGTCTTGCCTGGTAGCAAAATTTTCTGTACAAGACCTCAGTTTTGACAGAATCAAGCCACTTGACTTAAACGCTGCCAAAATGGATGGCAACTTTCGACGTTTGAAACGCCTTCAAAAGTGCGAGATGAGCGGACATGATCAGCGCTTTAGAAAAAAATTTTTTAATTCTCGATTATATAAACGTTGTGGTGTGGAGCTATCTTAGTAATAGAAAACTGCTGTACCAAAGTAGAAAGGGGATCAGGGCAAAGATAAGTGACGTCAGAAGCAGCACAAGAGTCCTTTTTATGCCCAGACTTGTGAAACAGTAGTTATAACGGAATACTAAAACTTGAAGAACCAGAAGATTCATATTAATCATTGGCTACGCCGATGACATTGCAGAAGTAATCACAGCTCGAGACACATAGGTTGCCCGAAGAAATCTGAATTAGGTTATATATTTTCGGAATTATTGCAGACGGAATTATATAATCATACTGTTTTTTGTTGGTCTATAAAGAAATTCTTAGTCCCTGTAACTATTTTCAGCGCGTTTTTGCTGCTTGCGCCAATTGGTGATTCCAACTGTAGCAACGTCCTCCTTCATCTAGTATTTCCAACGAAGTGCCGCCTCTTCTGTTTTCCCGGCAGGTACCTCGCCAACTGCTGTCAAAGTTGGAGTGTTTTCATCCAATAGGACGACATGACCTAGCCAGCGTAGCCGCTGTTTCTTAATAAGTTAAGTCTCGTCGTGTAGCTCGTACAGTTAATCGTTCCATCGACTGCGGGATTCGCCGTTGCCAATGCGCAACACGCTAAATCTTCTGCAGAAACTTTCTCTCGAAAACTCGTAACGCCGACTCGTCGGATGTTGTCATCGTCCATGCCTCTGCATCGTGACTTGTAGAGTTTAATTTTTGTTCATCGAAAGAAGACTTTACTTTTCTATTGCCTACTCAGTCCGAAGAGGTACCTATTGAAAATATTTATTCTGTGTGGGATTTCGAGGCTGATATTATTGTTGGTGTTGATGCTCGTTCCAAGATAGACGAAATTATCTATGACTTCTAAGTTAAGGCTGTCAAAGTATGTTTGTTTGATGACAGAACACTCTACACTCTTATAGTGAATCTGATTCCAAATAGAGAAAGTGTTTCTAGAACTTTGAATTCAGAAATTTTTTGGATTTTTTACAGCCAGATAAGAATGAGTACACTTCACAAACTTTAAACTGTTCTTTTCAGCTTACGCTTAGCATTAGCTCCAGCGAATCGGAGTATTGCGATGATGACGAGGAGGTTCCTACATGTAAGCCTGGAAGCTATAATATTTGCTTGCTGCTTTGAGTTTAAATTGTCTTTGTTTGTTTCTACCACAGTTGACGAGACCATTGACTATACGAAAATAGATTATGAGTTTCGACGCATTAAGGCGCGACGGGCACATGAAGAGATCATATCAGGAAGATTTCGATATCCCAACTTGGCACCTAGTGAGTAAAATTTTCATATTAATTTAATACGCAATAAATATTATAATAAATTTTTATAGGACCTCGCTTGGAGGCTTCCCGCACCAGAGCACGTGACAAAAACAAGCGTTCCGATTCGAGTTCCTCAACTTCCAGCTCTACATCGTCTTCATACTCACCGCCTATCAATCGTTCGCATGTTAGCAGCACTACACGCTCGAATTCTATCGAGTCCCGTCATTCGGGTGGTTATGGGCGACCCGGACGCGCCATACCCGGCGCAAGACGTAGTGAACTCGACATACAAAGAGATTTATCACGCATTACCGATTTGTTGAGCGTAAATGCCAGTGCACCGCATATCGATGTGCAACCGCCTTCTGATCGTGAATGCGGCAATTCCACTGAACAGCGCAACAATCCCACGCATCTGCATATGGATATACCAGCTATGACACAATCGGGCACCAGTATGGCGGTGCCGCCACGCAGTCGCAACTCGAATAGCAGCACTGTGACCAGTTTGCGTGACGATCCCGATGTACAAGCGAGTCCAAGCATTGAATCGACCGATTGGCGTAATTTTATACGATCGGAGTCTCAAAATTCTGTACCGTCATGGGCATCATCCATCAGTTTAGACTGCCGCGTTGGCGAGGAACCGATCAAGGAGTTTATGAAACGTTTCATAGAGGTGCTTTTCACGAATGCCTCGGCGATTGGTTTGGAATTGAAGGCGGAGTTTGGCGCATTGGCGCGTATCGATGCGGGACGACAGTGGTTTACACGTTTCTTGCTCGAGCAGAAAGCCAAATCGAAGCGTGTAGATGAGGTGACCTTCCATTCGTTGGTACAGTATTTCGCCATCGTCTTATTTGAGTGCGGTGAGAGTGAAGACTATGCGCCGGCAGCGTTAATCATGAATATTTGCTTTATGTTCTACAATGAAAGTGAGTCTGCGTTTGTACTTTTCCATTATAATTCCAAAGGAGTTAACATTTATTTTGATTGACAACAGTTGAAGTTCCTGGCTGTGAACCGTATCGCCAGTATCTCTACATTTTTATGCGTCAGCAACCGATATGGTATAGTCAACGTTTTTGGGGCGCGGCATTCTTCGAAGCTGTGCAAAGTGAACGTGACCATCGTTTGGCGATGCGTAAGCGGCGCGCTGAAAGGAAGCAGCGCAACAAAGCGCAGTTCACAACAAAGATAGCGGTTGAGTCGAATATGCATGAGAATTCTCCAGCTGAGGCAACGAATGAGAACGCGTTGTTAACGGATGCACCGGTTGATGGGGAAATCGCTTCCACGTCCAGTTCCTCACATCATGGTAATATTGTGGCCTTAAAGGTGCAGTCGACGAAGAAATCCGCTTCACAGACCAGTGCCGAAGACACGTCCGCAGTTGGTGGTGCTGGTGCTTCGGCGGAGTCGACAGCTTTGGTGGGTGCGTCGAGCACTGCAGCAGCCGCTGATAAGCAGCACGCACATCTCGATCCGCATTCCATCGAGAATATTGTGTTTCGACAACTGGGGTGAGTCGAAATGAACGAGTGTCTAGAAATTAGGTTCATATGTTTTACATAATTATGTACACTTCCAGGGCCTTCACATGTAATATGCACTCATTGGGCCTACCTCAAGATATGTGCCTAGAATTTTTGAAGAAACAATCGGCAACGGCAAGCCATACTTTATCAAAGGGTGAGTATCTGGAATTTGTTGTGAAAAAATCCAACTCTACACTAACCAATCTTTTGCAGAGAAAACCAAACTCATCAAAGATAACATATTGCGCATGTACCATGAAACCGATTCATGGGGCGCGAAAGAGTCCTGAGTGGTTTTTACCGCTAACCAAAATATGTAAACTCCAACTTTCCAGTAGTTAGTTAAATTCTATTAAAATAATATTCATTATATTTATAACGGACATATTAGTAAAAGAAAGCGTTAAAATTAATATATACTGTGAACATAAAACATAATTAAGTTATATGCACGCATTAGGGGTGTCCTTATTTGTAAAAATTTCATACTTGAACATAAAAAATTTCATTTTCGAAAATTTTTATTCTAATTGGTCTAAGGAAAAATGCAATAATTAGGAAATATGTTCATTAGGGGTGTCCCGATGATTATAAATTTCATATTTGAGCATAAATAATTACATTTTCTAAAATTTTTATTCTAATTAGTCTAAGGAAAAATGCAACAGTAATGATATTTGTATATTAGAGGTGTCCTTATTTGTTTCACACTTGAACATAAAAAATGGCATTTTCGAAAATTTGTATTCTAATTGGTCTAAGGAAAAATGCAACAGTAATGATATTTGTATATTAGGGGTGTCCTAATTTGTATAAATTTCATATATGAGCATAAATAGTTGCATTTCCAAACATTGCCTTACTGAGTGCTCTAAGAAAAATTAAACAAACAAAAAAAAAAAAAAAAAAATAAAATAAAATAAAATTATGTATGTATATGAAGTGTGTCCTTATTTGTATAAATTTCATATATGAGCATAAAAAGTTGCATTTTCGAAAATCTGCTCTTAAGTGCTTGAAGAAAAAATCAAACAAAAATAACTTTTTAAGGAATGAAAATCAGTTTTCAAATAATTATGCGTATACAGGGTGATCCAAATAATTAAAGGTTTCTTTTTTATTTAAGCTCGATGCAATTTGTCTGCTTATACGCATAATTGTGAGCACGTTATAAATGAGGATAGCCCTAATGCGCATATACATATATGTATATAAATATTTATATATTATGAAACTTTTTAATAATTCGTGTAAACAAAATTCAAGTATTCAAGGAATGTGGTTCACAACACTGTACGTTTAATTAAATATGCATTAGGGTGTGGTATTTTTTGAAGAAATTTCAAAATAAAATAATTTATTCTGCTAATGATGATGACTGGCAATATTAAAAACAGAAAAGTAAGCTCATAACTTAAGGAAGTGCTACCCTAATGCACTTAGACATATACATATAATATAATGAAACGAATGAATATCAAAGCATATAATATTAAAACAAATTGCAATATCAAAAGAAATTGTGATATGCCAAGTTGAAATGAGAGAAAAACAGAGAGAATTTTCATAGCGAAAGCGTTTATATTATAACTTGTACGTAAATATTAATATTATTTCAAAGAAGATTATCGGCAATACCAATGCAAATATGTTTAAAGCATATCGGGGCTCATGATTTTGAATGCTAATATGATTGGAATCTTGCTTAAAAGTCTTCTCGATCAAGCAATAAACTAACTGTTAGCCATAGTTGCATTTGAGATTAACATATTAATCATTTCTAGAGAACTTTTAAAGCTAAAATTCTTTATACTTAGACCTGCCATAAGTTCTGTTTTATGTTCAGATCGTTATAAAAAAACCGTAATAGTTTTGTTAAGAAAGTTATTTTTAGTTAGTATCGCATATAATGTACAAAATTTATTCGTAGTGATCACTTCTTGCTTCCACACAAGCTCCAAAACTTTTGGCCATTGATTAATAACATCACGTACAGTTTATATTTGTATTAACGACTCTGCTCAAACCAAAGATATTTTTAAATTCTCCAAACTTCTGTGGGGTATTCGACAAGTCATGTTGTTCAACACTTACTGCAAACCGTAGTCCAATGCACTAAAATCTGGACTGCCAGCCGACTAATCGTCTGCAGCTATGTAACCAGTAAAATTGCTTTAAGGTCGCTGTTGGTTGGAGGACTTGTATCGTGGAAGCTTCTAATGCTCTCCATCGAAGAGAATATTGCTTAATTGTTTTACAATTACTTCTAAGACATTGTGCTGACACATTTTCACACAATATTTAACTCCTCTCTCACAGAAGTGATAGGATAGGTAGACTTACATACACCACAGACTCACCATCTAACAACAGCTGGATAGTGACCTCGTTGAACCCTTGATATACAATAGTCCTTTGCGAAGAAGCTTTAACCAAGGTAGGCTTTTATGTAAAGATCATCTCGAATACGTCTTTATATTGATATGGTCGATATACATTCTGACAAAAAAGCACCCGGAAAACGTAGTTAAATTTCCCGGTTAAATGATATTTCAAAAAAGTGTTTTTTTCTATGTTGGTAGTACTGTCCTGAATTACTATGCCAAATATGCGCTCGACATATCAACCAGTTTGTTTATAGCAGCTGCTTAAGTCGGTACACCTCAGAGGTGCATTGCAATTTTTAAAATTGATAAAAATATCGAAGAAAGAATTTATCTCCAATTTTGTATATTTAACCAAATTTCGTGAGGGTGATTCAGTTTTATCAAAAACACAAGCTTATGAGTGGTATAAAGCCTTCAAAGTCAGTCGAGAGATCGTCGAAGACATGTCTCGTTCTGGACCACCTTCGATCTCTTCAACTGACAAAAATATTAAAAAAGTAAAGAATATGGTATTTGAAAATTGTCAGGCAAGTGTCAAGGTTGAGCAAGACAACACTCACGAGTCCGTTCGAATGATTTTGGAGGATATTTTTTGGTATTAAACGAGTACTTGCTCGACTCGTTTTTTTTAAAGAGTACCGTAAACCAGTATCTTTGGACACGCTTGATCTTGTGAATTCCGATCCCAGATTCGAAAGAAGGGTTTATGAGTAAGACGTGCAAATAAGTTTACAGTTACCAGAATGAAGAGATACAAAAGAGCCCAAGCATAAAAACAAGCCAAAGCTGCTCAAAAATAAAGGTGATAATTTTAAGTATTTTCCAAAATTCGTGGGTTGGTGCATTCTGAATTTATTCCGAAAAGACAGATGGTCAAAATGAGTTCTATTTGGCCGTATTGAGGCGTTTGCGTGAGAACATTCGTTGAAAATGGCCGGCATTGTGGAAGAACAATTCATGTATTTTACAGGATGATAATGCGCCAACACATCGAGCTACAATTGTGAACGAATTTATAGCCAAAAGCGCAATTAATACCATCGATCAACCACCGTATTCATCAGATTTGGCTCCGTGTGATTTTTTCTTGCTTCGAAAACTGAAATTGCCGCTGCTTGGAACCCGTTTTCAGTCATTCGAAGAGACAAAATAAAATTCGCTGAATGAGCTGAAGGCCATTCCAAAAGTGCTTATGACAAGAGCTTCGCGGGCTGGAAAATCTTTGAATAAGTGTATTAAGTAATATTAAATATTTGATAACAAATTAAATATTTTGCATTTTATGTACAAGTTCTTGGGACTTTTTTGTCACAATGTATATGAGTACACACTTTGCATAAAAATTACAATAAAAGATAACGGCACTTTTTTCTGCGAATTTGTCCTCCCTGTATGCATTGTAAACTTTTTAACCGAATTTATGGCAAGTCTCAGTATACCTTTCCTATAATTTGTAAGAAACCAAGTAATTGATTATGCAAAAATCAACAAGACACCAGTGGAAACATTACCTTTATATCCAAGTGTGATAGTAAATCAGTGAAAAAAATTCATTGACATTTTAAAAATTGTAATATATTACTTTCCATGAATTGATATTGACTTTTAAATATAAATATGGGACCTAATTCCATAAAATTATTTAAATTTTAATAAATATATGTAAAAATATACTTTTATAAAATATTTGAAAAAATATTAAAAGTTAGGTTATGCGATTTTGAAATACTAATTAAGCTTTTAGTTTATATGAATTTCGAAATTATGTTTCAAAAAGTACTAAAATATATGTATGTCTATATTTAACTCACAAAATGATTGTTCTGCTATCCATACAAACTTCATCTATATAAGCTCCCAACCTCGTACCTGTTGGTTTGTACGATGAAACAATCTCTTGAAAATTAAATATTTCAGAACAAAATAAATTTGAAATCAATACTTTAAAATGCAAAGGTATTCCTACTTGTATGATAGACATTTTATACTAATAATTAACGATCACACCACTGAATTCCTAAGCGAAGGTGAAGCGTATTTTAAACAAAAAAAAAAAAAATTTAAAAAAAAAAAAAAAAAAAAAAAAAAAAAAAAAAAAAAAAAAAAAAAAAAAAAATGTTAGATGAATTATTGTGCTTTTCGAAATAAGTTAACAAATGTTGATCGTAATGGTGAAATATTATAAGAAAATCTGTGAGAATCATGTTCTAATTTAAAGGCTTTAAGTAATTATAAAAAGTAACGTTTAATTATTGTAATTATTCCGAAATAACCCAAAATAAAAGTAACTTGAGTGAGTCGTTCGTAGGCCTTAGTGGAGTTCAAGTGGGAGTAGTCTTGGTACTACTTGAAAATCTACTTTTTGAGTTACAGAAATTCACGCTGAAGTAAAGGGAAGTTGAGGGAAAAGTATGAGCTTTATGTAAATTATGTATCGAGTCCACTTAAAAATCAAGATAAAAATACTTTTGTGTATTAAAAGTGCTTAAAATGCTTAAATGCAAAAGATTAATTATTTTCGAAGTTTTTTTTTGTATAAAATAGTTTCCAGAAGATACAACTTACTCTAGTTCTGTATGAATAAATTATATATATATAATACCAGGGATGATATGATTGCTGAGCGTCGTTTCGGTCTTTTTTAATACGTAATTTGTAATTTTTTTTCTTTGTATTCAGTAACGTTTATAAATTACTAAATATTTGTTCTCCAATTGCAATTTTTCGTGGGCTTTTGTGATTTTATGGTCGTAATATTTATTTATTTATTTTTCTTATTTTATAATCATTTATACAATAAAATATTTATTATATAAATACATGAAATCGCAGCACTGGCTACTAGGCCTTCAACCGCCTCATTAATAGCTTGGGTACTATAATTGTGTTAGTTAGTTGTTAGTGTGTTATATGTATTTTAGTAAATTTCTATATTTTAAAAATTTGTATGTAATCATTACGTTTTTATCTGAGGGATTTTTTAATGCTTGTGCTAAGTCAATGTTGTCAGAGTAGTGTGTTGTTGAGTGGATCACTGGGCAATCTGCTAGTATGTGTTGAATTGATACGGAGTTGTCACAAAAAGGGCAATTGAGACGGGATTTTCCCATAAGTATATTCGATTGAGTTAGGGTGGTGTGTCCGATCCTGAGGCGAGTGTATGCTTTGTTAACGCTTATTTTCGTGGTGGGCCCATACAAGGTTGGTATTCTATTCGGGTTGATGATGGCGTAACTATGGGTATGTAGTTTCCAAGCATTTAAGTTTTCTTCGAGCCTCTTGTGTTTGATGAAGTTGCGTATGTCTTGCTTCGAAATATAGTTGTAAGTAAGAGCCGGTATGTTTTTGACACTTTTGGCAGCGGCGTCAGCGAGGTGATTGCCGGGTATTCCCACGTGGCCCGGAATCCACATTATTTTGATTTTTCTCGGAGCACTGATCACGGCGTCTCTGATTTTGCTTATTATCGGATTGTAATTTGATAACGACTTAATGGCTGAGATGCAAGACTTGCTGTCGGTGGAAATGAGGTATTTACCATTGTATTTTTTTGCATGCTCGACCGCCTTCAATATGGCAGATGCCTCTGTGTTCGTGACCACGGAAAAGAAGGTGTATTCCGATGACTTAGATCCGTCTGTGAAGATCAACTTCCAGCCATTTTTTTTTTTTAAACATCGTTTGGTGTGCTCTGTTTGGGCAGCTTGGATAGTGGTGGTTTTTCCCCAAGAAGCTGCGCATTTATCGATTATGCCGATATCAGGCTATATCTTGTATGGAAAATTGTTTTATTAGGAAAGATATCATCACGAAATTTCGAATAGGTTATAGACTAAGACAATGCTGTAATCTCATATCGGGGCGGTAGAGCATATAGCTATTTTTCGAACTGACTGATTTAAATTAAGTAAAAGATTTTTTTATAGCCTTCCATGCTATAAGTGCAACCGAAGATAACAGTTTATTTATTATTCTTAAAGTTAGCCAAATATCTTACATAGAAAGTGATATAACACGTTTTTTGTTAATACAATAATACAATACAAAAACCCATAGTTATTTAAAATTTATTATAGAAAGACTTTGAAAAATGTAATTTTTTGGAAATTTACTTCAGTGTGAACATCTGTACATATGTAATTAATGCCACAAATGATATTGTAAAACAACAATACCTTCAACTTTAGACCATAGAAAACCAAATATCAAAGAAATAAGTATCCTGTAGATTTTCAGGATTTCAAATTTTATTTTTACGATATTGTACAAATAACATGAATTGTAATTTTTCAGATTTTTGAAATAACTAAATAAATATTTTACTTAATTAATTCAAAGAAATATTGTAGACTTAACATTATTTAACTTTAATTGTATGTTTGTTTGAAAGTTGCATAATATTGCGTTATATTTGATGAAATTTTTTTTTGCAATATTATGTGCCCTAACTGCACTTGGTGTATGTAAGTATAATTAACCGGTGATGCAATTTTCGGGTTTAAAGCTGCTTAATAGTAATAGAATTAAAAGGAAGATAAGCAGTAAGGCAGAGGGAATTCAAAGAAAATAAGGAAAGGCAGATAGTAGCTTTTGAGTAAAAATTTCAAAAAATAGTAAAAGAAGTCGTGTAGTATTTGCAAATGATTAATTAATATAATTTATGAAACTTTAATTAAAAAATAATGATTTCCTCAAGATATGACTTTATTTATTTTGTATAAAAAAAATTGTTTAGAAAAACAACAATAATTTAAGACAATTTATTTATATTCAATTATATACAATAACATATGTACATTTTAAAATGAAAATTGAAAAATTTATTTAGTTTATCTGATTTTAGTTTACTAAATTTAATAGCCAAAAAATATTATTTAATTAATTGTAGTTTAAAGAAGAGAGAAAAATAAATTGTATTGTTTA